AAGACTTTGTGACAATTTTCAGAGCCACCACACACAAATGACCCCACTCCCCAGTTCCAGGGAATAGGTATCTAAGAAGAGCCAGCTTCCTACCACCAAGGAAGGTCTGGTGAAGTTACCAACGCTTCCTGTTTTTTTTTTGTTTTGTTTTGTTTAAGAAAACATTTACTTGTCTTATGGCTGACTTAGTTGGGACCAAGGCCAGAATATCCAAGTTAATTTAGTCTGAGGCTGTGTAAGCAAACGCCTGTAGTTAAGCTTGTAGTTAATGGCACATCGTGTTATTCAAAGCATGGTTTGTTCTTCTGAGGGCGGGATGACAGCTCATTGTTATTTTGAGACACTAACAGACTGCAGGGCCTACAGTGAGAAGGTCTTGGAGAGGGGCTGAAACTGCTTTAACCATTTCTGGTTTTAATTCTTCTGGATGGGAGTGAGTCTGTTAAACTAAATGGTGAGTCTGTTAAACTAAATGAAGTAGTTAACAAATATTTCTTGAATAAGTATGTTTAGATATTAATTGATATCTTCCTACTATAATAAATGGATTTAGGTCCTTTTTACCCTCCCTGCATACAGTCATAGCATGATTATAGATTCCTCTATTGGTTCTCTCTGTGATTGAATCTGCAGTGGTATCTGGATTGCTCACTTTCTAAGAAGAGGGTACTGGTGCTCCTATCTTCCACCTCCTTCTCCTTCTAACCTCTCTTTTTCTGTCCTTCTTTTACATTGTAATGGGAAATGACATTTACACTCTGTTCAGAGCTTGGGCTATGAGTTTTATAAAAATTAAGAAACTATGGGTTCCTGTGGCACAAACCTGTGATCCTGTGACTCGGGAAGCTGAGGCAGGAGGATCTTGAGTTCAAGACCAGCCTCAGCAATTTATCGAGGCCTTAAGCAACTTAGCAAGACCCTGACACCACATAAAAAAGAAAAAGGGCTGTGGATTTGCCTCAGTGGTTAAGTGGCGCTGGGTTCAATCCCTGGTACCAAAAAAGAAAAAAGAAAAGAAACTAACAGCCGGGCAAGGTTGTATATGCTCATAATCCCAGCAACTCGGAGGCTAAGACAGAAGGATCCCAAGTTTGAGGCCAGCCCCAGCAATTTAGCAAGGTCCTCAGCAACTTAGTGAGAACCTGTTTCAAAATAAAAAATGAAGAAAGGATTGGAGATATAGCTCAATGGTAAAGCACCCCTGGGTTAAATCCCCAGGACCAATAAAAAATTAAAGAAAGAATAAATAGTGCTTATATTGTATTATATATATTATTATTATACATTATATTATATATTATATTATATATACATATATTGTATAAATATTATAATATATACATACATATGTATATGTATTCATTGCCATATAAATATTGTTCTCTGCAGAGGAAAGGAAAGGGTTGTGATTACACTTCTTTACTGAGAAGCTCTGGTGTTATGATCTCCATGCCACTCAGTAGAAAACATTCATAAGATTTCTTTCTTACCTTCTACCATTTGCTTAAAATAATGACACACATGACTTTTTATTTGAACTATATCTGTTTTGTTCACCTCTTTGTGATTTTGGAGGGAGGATTTATAATTGCTTTTCTTTTTTAACTCTTGAGCTAGGTAATTGATACTCTTTTTGCCATTTCTTGAATATCTTCCAGATTTTTATACATGCTCTTGGTTAGGATTAAAAATTGTCTTTTTAGCCAGATGCAGTGGCATATACCTGTAACCCTAGTTACTAGAGAGACTGAGACAGGAAGATTGCAAGTTCAAGGCCACCCTGGGCAAATTAGCAAGACTCTGTCTCGGAGTCAAAAAAATAAAAAAGGGCAGGGGATGTAGCTCAGTGATTTAGAGCACTCCTGGGTTCAATCCTTAGTACTCTCCCCCCAAAATCAAGCAAAACAAAACCAGATAGAGTCCTGTCTTAAGATGAGAAGAGAGGAAATGTGAGTTTCTCAGGACAAAATTTTGTCTCAAATTCTTCCACTTTACTCAATATGTTTTACATATTTGCAATTACAAGATTTTTTTTGGTAACAAAAAATAAGCTTATGGTATTAATGTATTATCATTAAGTTTTCCTCTTATCACCTTAGCTTTCTTTCCTTCATTATCTACTATAACTTCTGGCATTCACACAGAACCATAATGCCAGGTTCAGGTAAACAGTGCTCAAGTGTAGAAAATGGTAAAAGGAGAAATGTAGTGGTTTTAACACCTGTTAGAGTGAAAACAAAACACAGCTTAGGGAGGGGAGATGACATGATTCATTGACATCTGACCTCATTAATTCCCACCAAGAGAATCCTTTGAGATGGGAATATTATTTTACATTTGGGTGAACTTGTATCAATGCCACTCGGAAAAATCAGCTGTTGACACTCTGTACTGACAATTAAAACTTCATGAAACAGCTATATGGACAAAAGGCTTTGGGTAGGAGCAAGAAAGTTGTTGAACTGCTTTTTGACTGGATTATTAATTATTCTTCTGGTCATCACCAAAATATCACTGACATGGATCATTAAGCTCATCATATTTGGCTTTTAAGAAACCAAGCCTACTTCCAGGTGGCTCCCAGTTCATTCTTCCTCCAAAGTTTTGTATCCTGTCTCATCTGCTGAATGTCTTACCTTCTACTTCTCCACCAGAGGCAGCAATTTTAGAGAGGTATAGATATGTTGTCCCAACAACATCATTTTTGGTGAGACGGTCCCTGTGTGAAAGAACAGGTTAAGGCCTGGATCTATAAAAATATGTCTTCATTTCAACAAGAAAGAAGAAAAAGATACCAATACATACCCACCTGAAGGAATAATTAACTAAAGACTGAAAATTTTTTTTAAAAATTAAAAGAAAGGACTGGAAAATACCTCAGACCTCAGACATCATAAAAACTCCCCACCCCCATCTCCTGTCCAGGCTTTTGATTCAGTCAACCTGGGTTAAGCACCAAGAGTGTACATTTTAAGTATATTCTGATGCAGATGGCTTTTTAACCACCCTTTAGAAACATTGATCTAACTGGACAATTCATTCAACAGGTTCGAAAGTAAAATTTTACAGAAAGGTCACTGGATTTTTCTATGGCTACACTTAATATCATTGTCATAAGATGAATCAATGGATTATAGCCACGTTACATTATGAGCATAATGTAATTATATCGAATAAAATAGTTCTATGTATCTTATTTGACCATGTTCATACTAACTGTGATGATGGCTTAACAATCACAATGGGTTCTATCTAAGGACACATCAGGCTCTATCTAAGGACGTATCACAGGAAGAAAAATTCCCTTCTAATTCAATTCTAATATTTAGCAAGCACCTACTATGTGATAGCTGCTGTTTCTCTGAGTGTGTCTGCTTGCCTGAAACCTAAATCTTGCCTATGTTGTAGGGACAAATTTGTCCACGCTCTCTACAAGTAATAAAATATCATATATCCTTCTGTGGGTATCTTGAGGAGCCTGTGAGCCTAACCATGAAATGGTCTCAGGTTGGGCACATGTTATGAACATTGTTTGCTTTAGATCTCTTATTTTTATTCCATCTGGTTTCATGTCCCCTCTGAAGTCAAAGGCCTCATGGGAAGAAGCAAAGTCTCAGTATTTGGGGGAAGGATTAGAGAATAGTATATTAGATTATAGGAAGTGACTAATAAAATATAATTTGCTGGAGAAAATGTTATTTATGGGTATTAAATCACATGCATAGGGTCTGAATATTTTTGGTTCACTCAGTGGGTTCAGGCTATATTTGAAGAATCTTTAGCTTTTCCTCAGTTGTTCAAATACCCTGTAGGATATGTGACCTAAGATCTGGTTCCCAGTGTTCTTCAGGTAAGCAGGGTCTTTCTATTCACTCTAATTTACACTAGTTGCTTTGGAGAGGGGCAGCCTAGGTCAGATATAAACCCACCTTTATAGTGACCACAGGAAACTCTGGGATGGTTCAATTAGTCAATGGTCCACTGTAGAGTCCATAGATCAGAGTGGTCATCTGAGCTACCTATATTCCCAAGGGTCCCTGAGGCCCCTGGAGCACCTTCTATTGTGGCCTGAGGGTCCAAAATGCCTTAAAATTTTCTGTCACTAAAGAAGGGAGTGTTTTGTGCTGAAGGCCCTACTGTGACTCTCCATTAATTGTGGTGTAGTCACTGAACCAATGAGCCCCACTCTCCTCCCACACACCTCCTTGTCAGTATGATAATAGGGTACTAACGAGAGTCAAATATATTCGGACAAAAGAGAGACTGTGGAGACAGGCAGGCCCAACCAGATCTTTAACATCCAAGTGACTGTGGGCAAGTTACCTGACCTCTCTGAGCACCAGTGTCCCCATCTGTAAAATGAATCTAGGAGTCAACTCAACCCCCCCTCCCACAGGGTTAATCTAAAAACTAACTGGGATAATGTAGGCCAGGCACTTGGCAGTGCTCAGAAAATGATAGCCAACATAATATGCATTTGTGATGATGATGATGATGAAGACAATGTGATATTTGCCCTGGTTCCACTTTCAGAGATCCAAAGACTGAGAGTTGAATACTCCATCTAGTCAGAACATTCTAAGAATGGTCTTGTTGTAGCCAATCAGTGCTGAGAGGCTGGTTTAGTCAAAATTCCATCAGAACATTTTTAAGTGTTTCTTTGCCTTTCATTTATCCATTTTTCTTACTAATAATAACAACATTGGGATGGGGATGTGGCTCAAGCGGTAACGAGATCACCTGGCATGAGCGGGGCGCTGGGTTCGATCCTCAGCACCACATAAAAATAAAATAAAGATGCTGTGTCCACCGAAAACTGAAAAACAAATATTAAAAAATTTTCTCTCTCTCTCTCTCTCTCTCTCTTAAAAAAAAATAATAATTACAACGCTCAAAGTATTTCTATCAAATACTCTGCTTTCAGAATATTTTGGTGTTTCTTCCCCAAAAAAGGGCTTACTTTATTTCTGAAGTCATTTTGGACAGCCTAATGATATTTAATCCTTGGGATTCTTATCTTTGAGCATTTTCAGATAATTCCCTCTTCTTCTGTTATGAGCAATTGAACCAAGATGTCCAAAGGTTTTCTTTTCTTTTTGGTGCTGGGGATTGAACCCAGGGCCTTGTGCATGCAAGGCAGGCACTCTGCCAACTGAGCTATAGCCCCAGCCCCTGACTAAAGCTTTTCTGCTAACCTTTATTTTCTTTTCTTTCTTTTTTTAAAAATAATTTCTATTTTTAAACTAAACCTCCCAGTTCCAGGAGCATGTTTTTATTTCTTCCTATGGAAAAAAAGCAAATATTCCAAGAAGTATAAGTTAGACCATCTACCATAAGATCCACAATATTCAAATGTCTAGTTCTTTACTGTTGAATTAGACATGTCTATTTTCAACTCACCAGTCATATACTGTTAGTTTTATTTTTTCACACATTGAAGGGAACTGTTAAAATGAAACAGAGAAAGGGTAATTATTTCTTCATTTATTTAGTAGCTGGTAAATATTTTTACTTTTTCTGAAAGAAAAGAAAGTCAAACCTTGATCTGGAGATTGACGACTTGATTCCACTCTGGATTTGCATTTTTCTCAATTATATTTGTGCAAACCTGTAACAATCACCAAAGCAAAACTGTAGGTATTCAGGTTTCTAATTGCCAAAAGTTAACAATATTTTCACACTGGATTATGATATCATCAGCTTAGTTATTAGTTATATACTAGTGACCTGGTCAAATTTTAGACATTTTCCCCCTTGGTGCAAGGGATTTAACCCAGGGCCTTGTTTAGGCAAAGCATGCTCTCTACCACTGAGCTATACTATCAGCCTCCAAATTTTATTTTTCTTGATAATGATTTGGTAAAATGTGACATGGATTTAAAGTGATTTTTGCTTCTTCTGTGCACCAATAGGTTGTTTTTATTCATGTCTTTAGTTTGTTTTTAATAGCTTGATGTCTACTAATAGATTAATGTAACAATAAGAGTTAGGTTTATTGAGAATTTATCATATGCTGTCTGAGAAGCAGCTCATCATTAACACATCCAAACAGATTTTGGATCTTGCTACCCCAAAGCTCCTGTCCCAGTGTTCCATCTCTTCACTACCCCAAAGCTCCTGTCCCAGTGTTCCATCTCTGTTCATTTAGTTACTGGGCCTTAGAACCAAAGTCGCACAACATCCCTCTCCCCTTAACAAGTCCTTCCCAGTCCAACAGTAAATCCTGATGCTTGAATCTTCGGGTACATCCTAAAATATTTTTCCCTCAGACACCTGCAGCTGGCTCCTAACTGAATCCCCACTTCCTCTCTTGCCTTCCAACTTTCGCATCACTCCACCTGTAACATCTTCAGTGAGCTCTCAAAGTGCATTTGGAATAAGGTCAGATCCCTACCTGGCTAATAAAGCACACCCTGCCCCCATCTCTCACATCTCTCTGACCTCGTCTCTTATCCCCACCCCTGATGCTTGTTCCTCTCCAGCCACAGACATTCCTTCACTGCAAACATGGTTCCTTGGCCCCTTCCATTACTCTTCTCTGTCTGGAAGCCCCTGCTCCCAGATCTCTTCATATCCAGGCTTCTGATCAAATGTCACTTCCTGAAAGGTGTCCCACCTGGTAACCTTACTAGACACCCCTCCCACATCAATCACATCTTTTCTGTAGTTCTAAACACTATCTGAAAACAAAATTATTCAATTACTTTGTTTGTTGTTTTGCTTGTTTGTTATGGTTTTAATGTGTTTCCCAAAACTTCATAGTTGAAACTTAATACCTAAATTCAAATATATGCATACACATATATTTACATGTATATAAATATATATATATATACACACTCACACACACACATATCTACACAAACACATATATATGCATACACATACACTTACTTTTTTTCTTTTTTTGTACTGAGAATTGAACCCAGGATTGCTTTGCCATTGGTACATTCTCATCCCTTTTTATTTATTTTGAGACTGGCTCTTGCTAAGTTGCTGAAGGGATAAGTTGCTGAGGCTGGCCTTGAATTTGCAATCCTCCTGTCTCAGCCTTCTGAGTCACTGTGATCACAAGTGTGCACCACCACCACCACTTTTGGCCCTAAATTCATATTAATGGTATTTTGAAATGGTGGCTTTGGGAGGTAATTGGGATTGGATGAGCCCTGAGAGTGAGGCCCCCTGGTGGCATTAATGACTTTATTAGAAGATGGAGAGGGATCTGAGCTTAGATCCTTGCTGTGTCTTTCCACATAATGCTCCCCCCAACTCCCCATGACATAGCAAGAAGGCCCTCACCAGATGACAAGCGGATGCTGGTGCTATGCTCTTAGACTTTCAGTCTTCAGAAACATGAGCCAAATAAACTTACAGTCTTTAGAAATGACCCAGTCTCAGGTATTTCATTGTAGCAACAGGAAATACATAAGTCAGTCCCTCTGTTAGGCTCCATGAGAACCATGGTTATCCCACGGACTCATTTGTTCAGCCTCAGAACATGGGACAGTATCTGGTACTTAGTAGGCTCACAATCACTACTTCTCAAATGAATTAAGCCTCTCAAAAAATCCTATAAGATTATTATTGCCCACAGTTCAGAAAGTTTCAACTAAGAAATTAAGAAATGTTCCCACCTGCCTCTGGAATGGGGCGGACCTGAATTTAAATTGACCTAGAGGTGAGGACTTTCCCTCCACAGCCCCAGTGACTCCCTGAGGAAATAACACTAAGTCAGAAGTGTGTGACTCTGGGTGGTTACAGATTCCCTTACACCAAGAGTCTTCCAGCTTTTTCCAAAAGACTGGGATAGGGTGTCCCTGCACAAGTCTCCGGTTTCAGCCACTTGCGGGGGAAAACAGCAGGTTAGAAATGTGGCAGAAGGGGGCAGCTGGGAGCCTGGGGGCTACACTCCACCCTATTTACCAGGGATGACTGTGGTTGGCTTGGAAGCTTGCCTAAGAGAAAGATCATACTTAGACCCGGGAAATAATTCCAATAATTCCATGGTAGCTTTCACTATTCCAGTCTTTCAAAAGGCTGAATTTTCTAATTTGAGTCCTGCATACTTTCCACTCCAAAATAAAGCTGTGGAGAATTCTGGTGTGTTCCGATTCAGATAATCTGTGTTCCTGCAGAGCAGCCCACTCATCAGGGGGCTATTTTAACAAAGAATAAGCAGGAATTCACTCCAAGGAAAGCTTTAAATGTTTATTCTGAGAGGATCACATACAAACCTTTTTCCCAGCAAAGGAAACTTCTACAAAAGGGTCCACAAGGTTTTTCTTATCTGCAGTGCCACCAAATATTTCCTTTACCGTCTGTGAGAAGGCATCATCCACTGGAAAGGAATATGTCACACAGCAGAGATTAAATCTGATCCTCTTAAAAAATGGAAATTATTCAGTAAAATTGTAAAATTTCTTCTATGTGGGAAAACAAATGCAGTAAGAATCGTTCCCTGTGGTGGTAAGCACTAGTGGCAGAACTTCCCTTTGTCTTACTTGAAGAGGGAGAAAATGTCTTCTTGTAATTTCAAAACCTATAGAGCACCTTGAAAAATAAACCCATAAATTATGATGTTGAGAACTGATAATTTATGGAAGAAGAAAGTAGAATTTTAAACAGTCCAGTCAGAGTAAGAGTCAATTATCAAACTTAGGTCTGGTTTTAATTTGGAAAAGATGCTTCAGGTCAAAGTGACATAAGTCCAGTTCTGACATTGTAGAGAAATTCAAGAAGATTTGGCATACTCGTAAATAACATAGTTGTAGCACATCAAATTGACCAGAGAGATCTCTCTGTTTTAACAAACTTGAAAGAACAGAGACCAACTGAACAGGTTAGTATAGGAAGTATAATGTGAAGCTTAATTTACTTTATTTAAGATATTTTGGAGGGAAAGATGGCATGGAGGACATTCTAGGGTCTAAAAGAAGGGAGAAGGATTTCCAGGAAAAGAGATCCATGGTGGATGCAGTGGGTACTACCTCCAGTGGATTTAGATGTCCCTGAGCCCAGCAGGAAGCAGACAGGTTGAGCAAAGCAGGCAGGATGCTGGCTGTCAGCAAGGACAAGAGAGACTGAACTGGTCTTCATAAATGGAATCACTGTAAACCATTTTCTTAAATGTGAACAGTCTCCTGCTAAACATATCATACTACAATAGGAACAGACTTCTGGTTATTGGCACTTTATCACCCTTTGCTCAGCTATTTTTAACACTCCAAATAGCAAACACACTTACTTGATTATAAAATTTCATGCTTTCATTTGGGGTAAAGAGATTTAGAAGTGCTGACTGCTCACCTTTCTTTAGCATTCTCTAGAAGAAGACAGAGCATTGAAGGAAGAAGAGATAGGGCAGAATGAGCCAACAAGGACCACGGATCAGCAGCACTAGCTGCCCAGGAGTCTGCTCAGGGAGCTTTCAATAGGGCCAGATGAATGAAAATAAGCCCTTGAAGACCCTTCAGAAGAAAAACCTATGATAGGGAGCACCAATCAGTATCTCATTATGCCCATAGCTGACAGACTGGGAAAAATTAAATCCATACATACTCTGGGGGATATCCTCAGCCCGGTAGATTTTCAGCAGGAAGGTCACCCACCGAAGGGCGATGCCAGCAGGGAGTAACAAATTGCTCTCCACATCATCACTGTCGTTATCACGATCACGTTTTTCAGGCTGTTGGAAGCACATGATTAAATTACACATACAGAGCAGCAGCACTTCTAAAAAGCCAACCCGACGCTTGTGAAATGAACCCAATCAGAATTTCCACTAGGATTTCCTATGCTTGGGGCTTAAGATTTCAGGCATCAGTTTCCCTTCCACCTATAAGCTGTTCTATACAATCAATGCTGATATGTGTGTGTGTTTGTTGTCTTATGAGCACCGAATACTAAAGTGTTCTTCACTGCCCATTCCTCCTCCTTCAGCTAATGCTAAGGCTAATATTAATATAACCATCAATTAGGCACTTTCGTGTGTGTGTGTGTGTGTGCACACACGTGAGCACATATTTGTGTGTGTGTGTGTGTGTGTGTGTGTGTGTGTGTGTGTTCTTCTCTGGCACTTTCCATTTGCTGCCCATTTTCCCAGAATCATCACAATCCTTTAGGTAGCATTGCTTGATTCTGCGAGTAAGTCACACTCTGTAGGTAAAAACCAATCTTTCTAATGTTGCAAGGACACTGCGCAAACATGCGTGTGTCCTGATTTAAACACTCACTTATAGACACCAGGAAGGGAACTAAGTGAGCTAGAATGACCATCTATCATGGAGGAAAGACCGGCTTCTCAGGAATGGAGGAATCGGAGTGGGGAAGGTGATGAACTGAAGGCAACCACAGGTGACCTCTAGCTTAGTTTTAGTCCTTGATCTGCTTTTTCGTGAAACGAGTAAAAGGCAGAGAATTTAGGGACTCACGGGAGGCTCATCTCCGGTTCCCAGGACAAACATGCTGACTTTCATGTAGCCTTTAGCACCTGAGCTGGTATCTTCAGGGTCATTAAGAAGAAGCCATTTCCTCATGACAGCATGACCTAAAACAAAGGAGCAGAAGGACAGGGACACTCTAAAGAGATGCTGGTGGGTCTGTGATTTTGCCTCTTAGAAGCATTTCCTTGAAAGCTTCATCAGGACACATCAAGTTCCCCAGGCAAGCCTGCACGCTGATGTCCTCTGTTCTGTGCTCTCTCCACCCTGTCCCCACCCCCCCGCTGTCCTGGTGTGACTCAAGTACGATTCTCTGAACTCTATTAACTGGTTTGATAATTTGATCTTGATAAAGATATCCTCACAAAACATAGAAAATTGCCTATTTAAATATTAAGACAAAAAAAAAATAGACATCCACACTAAGCTACTGTTTGTTATTCATTTCCAGTAAACATCCTTCCCCAATAAGAAAACATTTTTTTTTAAAATTCCTTTGGTTTTGGATCCCTTGATCTCTAAAATTTTCTTGACTTCTAGCATCTCCCTCAGAGTTAGGAGGAATTACTATGAGACTTCAGATTGATGGGAGAGAACATTACTTACCGGGTTCATCATAAACGAATCCAACATCAATCTGGGGAAAAAATAATTTAAAATAGCTTAAGTAGATTTTAAAATCAGTCTAGTCACTTCAAAGAAACCATCAGTATCATGTTTAAATGAAATGTTCTTGACTAGGCTTAAATTTGCTTGAGACCCAATATTTCCAGTTTACCTTCTTTGCATCTCCCCATGCCTGATGTGGGGCACAGAGAAGACCCTCAATCAACAATTTGTTATTGAACAAATTAGTTGTTCTTAAGCTGGAAGGAACCATGAAAGTAGGGTGAAGAATGTGTCCCAGTTTGCTTGAGACTTTCCTGGTTTTTAGCACTGATAGTCCTGGGCAAACTGAGATCATTAATCACCCTACAGGATTTTACCTAGCCCAACTTCCTGCCCATTCCTCCTCCTTCAGCTAATGCTAAGGTTAATATTAATATAACCATCAATTAGGCTCTTTAATGTGCAGGTGCTATGCTGATGCTTTATATGTATAAATCATTTAATCTTCACAGCGATCCCATTTTACTGATGAAGAAACTAATGATCAGAGAGGAAGCAAGTTCCCCCAGGACATGGGGGTACTTGGTGGCAGACAGGGTACAAACACAGATCCACCTGACCCATATCATCCTGTGGGACTTTAGTGACCAGAGCTGCTTCTTTCACGAGGCAGCACATTCCCTGTAGAGTTGCTAAGAAGGAGCCAACCAAGTCTATTTGTTTTTTAATTCCAGTAAGAATAGTTGGCAATCATGCCGATTCTCTTGGCCAGCTTGGCTTTCCTTCCAGACTCCAGATTTATGACAACAGGTTTTGTAGACAGGGTTCTGGGAGTGCAATGGTGGACTATTTGCCAAGGTCAAGCTCTCTTTCCCCTTGTAGCCATGGATTTGCTTCCATTCATAGCAGAAGGCTGGCAGGGACCTGAAGCGGCAGTTCCAGAGCCGCTTTAGAAGTAGACCAGGCCCAGGCAGCCCTCAGCACGGATCATGCTGTTGATCCCTTAAACATAACCCTAAGATGTCACCAGGATGGGTACTCAGACCTGGCTTGGAGGCAGACTCGTTATCATGAAAGTTCTTATCTTTATGTAAGTTCAGTGAAGAAGACTATTGTCACTCACCTTAAATTCCCCCATCAGACAATCTGCCCGCAAAGAATGGGAATTGTAAACCTGGAAGAAAGAAGAGTGATAGAAAGATGATGGCCTTCGTCTGGCAGTTAGTGAGTGAGCTGCACTTTCCCACTCCCTGGGCCCCTTACCCGGATGCTGATGATCTCATCCATCAGTTCAGAAGGGGTTATGTGGACATTGTAGAAAAATAACTGTCAAAACATCAGAAAGCATGTTTAAATATTAGTGGGGGGTTTGGGGTTAGTGGGATCTGCTTGTCATTGTTTTCCTCTAACGTGTATTATTTTTATAGCCGAGGAAGTTTTGCTACTTCTCAAAAAATGGGTTATTTAGTTACACAGAGTCATCCCTCAGAGACATCCAGTAATTAGAAAAACAAAGGTAGATGTAAGTGATATCACATGCTCTATCATTGGGGTGAAACTGCTGTACAAACATCAGAAAGATGTTGCTCTGAGGATCAATGATGAAGCCCACCAGGTGATACCATGTCTAAGTGGTTCTTAACTTTGAGGTTTAACTGTTGACCTTTACCTTGTCTTTACATGTCGTCTGCTCACATATCTGCAACCCCCTCCCACGGATAGGGCAGAGATGGCAGGAGGCGGGAGATAGGCACATAAACAGGATGTGCCCGCTGAGCAGGTGCATGCATTCTCTGCCCACTTACCTCATCAAAAAATGGATTGTTCCCTCTCTTGATTCTTGTTCGGTGTGTCTGGCCACAGACGTGAACTTTGACCACAGGCCTTATGTTGTTGCCACTTAACTGGCGGCCCTCAATCACTCTGACTCGGATCTGCAGCACAGAAGGGGTGTTGTTACTGATCCTTTCCCAGTGTGTGGTGCAGGAGAATCCTAGGGGGTTGCTTCTGCCCTTTGGCCCATAAGAATGGCTGAAAGCAGGCCAGGACAGCTTGGCCATGTCCTAGTGCTCACATGCTGGGAGAAGCCTCCCTTGATCATTCCCAAGATAGGAACTGGGATTGGGTTGCAGAAACCCAGAGCGGTTCAGAAGGTTGAAATCGTTCTGAGTTGGCCTGGGAAAGGTGGGATGAGGCTGATGTCACTACTCAGACTCCAGGCCCTTACCTAGCCTTCCTGAGTCCTGGTGATATACTCCCTTACTCCCGAGCTCTCAGTCTGAAGCAGTAACCAGAGCTGTGCAATACACAATGTCTGTGTTTCTATTCTATGATTAGCTCTTGCCTACCTCCAAAGGGAAGGGAAGTTCTAGTTTTATTCCTGGGGAGAACCTTATCTGGTTTGATTAACTCTATTTCTGCATGCCGAAGATGGAGAGCACCTATTGGATTCACACTCTGACATCCCCCTGTTTTTCTAGGGGGGCGGAGGGGCATTACTGGGGATTGAACCCAGGGCCTTGACATGATAGGTAAGCACTCTACCACTGAGTTACACCTCCAGTCCTTTATATTTTATTTTGAGACAGGTCTTTCTAAGTTGTCACGCTGATCTTGAACTTGAGATCCTCTTGACTCAGCCTCCTGAGTAGCTGGGTTTTGTAGATGTGTGCCACTGCGTCTGGCCCTGACATTCCTTTTTACCAGATAAGGCATTGCCCATAGAAATAGGTCCATCACAGTGTCACTGCAATTACTGGAATGTGGGCCATGGGGTGGCTGAATGAGGATGCAGAGCAGCTGGGCTGAATCTACCTGGAAGTCCTGTGGCTTATTGGACAGCATCCGCCGGTTGCTCTTTCCTTTGGTGAGCCTGCGAGCAAGCTGCGCTTCTGAAACCGCCCCAGCCGGCACCCGAGGCCCCGGGCCCCTGACTGTACCATCCAATCTGTCTTCATCACCTGCGTCTTCTTCCTCTTCTCCTGAAATATAAAAAGAGAATCCAATTAGTCCATGGCCTGAAAATGTCTGAACACTTCAGTTCTGGACACGGAGAGTTTTGCCTACTATTAGGTTTTCAGAATCTCCAAGGTGGCAAAAGGAGATGCTCTTGGTAACACTGACCTGGGGCTCAGAGACAGTTTCTTTAGGGAAATGTGCTCAAGGTGAATCACTGCGCTCATCTGGGTGCCTTGGAAGAGACCAAGAGAAAGCCAGAGATCCCAGACATAGAGGAGGGTGGATCCAGCAGGAATCACTGGCTTCTCAGGAGCTAGCTTGAGGTCAAAGGGACACAGAGATGAAGAAATGCAGTGGAAAACTGGAACTTGCAAAGAGAGACTTCAGCCCCACCCTTCCTGGTGCGAGTCTTCCTCCAGAAGTTGGCTCAGGAGCTGCCCTGGCTCATTTACAACTGAGCTTCCTAATTCATAAATACCCTCTTACCCTCGTGGCAGAGGCTGAATCCATGTCATTTTATTCCTAAGCAGAACAAGGTGGTCATGTTGCTCTCCCTTTGTCCCCTTGGTTTGCACAGAATGCTTCCTGGGAAGCAGCAATGTGGGGATTCGGGGAAGCTGGAGCAATCAGTGAGCAGCACAGATTAAGGGGAGAAGAGGTGCAGAGGGAGGAGAGGGATCAGAGGAGGAAAGAGTCCTCTCATATGTCCTGCTTCACCACTGAGCCAGGGTGAACCTCCTCCCCTCGTAGGTTCACTCTTGCTGAGCCTGTCCTTACCTGGCTCCTGTTCTTCAAAGGTCAGCTGTGACCTCCTGCTAGGCTCAGGGCCTGCTCTGGGTCCTCATGCTTGGTCTTCCAGAGCATTGGGCACTGGTTCATGGATGCATGTTTGGCTCACTGTGGCTCTCCTCTCACTCCTCTGAATCCTCTTGGTCTTCCTTGGACCCGTCTTCCTGACTCCTGACCAATGCATGTGACCTCCTCCCCTGCCCTCTGCTCCTTGACTGGACACTCTCTGGATCCCCACTTCACACTTCCTTCAGGGCTCCATAACTCCACAGGATGTCAGACGAGAAGAGACCCTCAGTCCAAGTGACCATTTATCCCATGTTACAGATAGAAAACTGGAGCCCAGAAGCTGAAGTGCTTGTCCGTGGCAGGTTATTGGGAGCTGAGTTAAACCCAGGACCAAGTCTTTGCCCTGCTTTGCTGACTTAAAACTAGGTTTAAACCCAGGCTTCAGGTGAGTAAGGTGCTAGCCTCCTAGTGCATCAACATCTTTGTTAAGATATCAGGGAGACACACAGAAGCCAAAGAGGGAGAACAGCTCCCTTTGTCCTCTGCAAGATAATCTAGCAGGGGCTCCTATTTTTTCCTATTCATGAAGAGGCTTTAAAGGGGGTTGCCTGCTGCATGGATCCAGGCTCTCAGAATGTCATTCCTCCTAATCTCCACAGGCAAGTTCCTTTCCTCCCTCAAGTCTCAGCTGATATAGACTGTCTTGCAATAGGCCTTGCTCACCTCACATCCTCTCTGTCCCAATGCACACTGTTCTTTTTGGTCCTCACTGCAGAGTCTTGTACCTACTTATTAACCCACCATCCTCCCCGTCTCCCATATATTCTTCAAAAGCAGGAACTTGACCTTTCCTTCTTTCTGTAACTTCCCCCAGGCTTTACCCCAATCTTGGTACATGGAAGGGGCTTGAGAGGGTGGAATGGAGGGCAGGGGGTAGATCTGAGCCGACACATGCCTTCTGGAGTTCTTCAACAGTTTGGCAAAACTCCTGCACAGTTCTCAGGAAAGAGAACTGAAAAAGCTGAAGGGTGTTCGCTCAGCCTCAGGGAAGCACAGAGGGTCAGCACTCCTTCTGCAAACCTGTTCCAGGCTGCGCAATGGTCGAGGCAGATGGCTTTCAGGTTCCTCTAGACAACGAAGCCTAACTTCCTTTGATCCTTCTGAGCCCAAGCGGGACTTCCTCCTTGCTGTGAATTGTTCCCCTTGAGGTTGGTGGTTAATTATGGCAGCAAACAGGAGAAAAGTAGGGCAGGGCTAGACTCTGGACATGCACTCATTAAGCTCCAGATGGATACTCTAGCAGACTGTGGGTAGTGAAGAACCCAAGGCTTCTGAAAACGCCCTCTGCTATTCAGACTTCAGGCCAAAGGGATGGATCAGGGGGAACCAGAATCTCTGCCCCACAGTAGAGGGATATCTGGGCAGGAAATCTCTTTATGCCAAGGAAGCCACACAGGATTAAACAATGCTACACTTAGTGTTCCACAAAGAATGAGAGGGCCCTAAGCTCTCCCCAAATAGACAGCATAATCTGTTTCGTTACCAAACATTAGTGGCTGCTCTGGCTTGCCCTGTTCATGAGACCAGGCATGAATTTTATCATAGCCAAGTGGATCTACAAAGAATGAGTCTTTTATGACCAGAGGTCAACACTAGGCTGGGAACCACTGACCGAAAAAGAAGTTGCTGGTTGTAATTGCTTCCAAGGACAGTCTAACAAAATGCTGTGAACTGAGTAGCTTAAAACAATAGAAATTTATTCTCTTGACAGTTTCAAAATTGAGAAGTCCAAACTCAAGGCGTTGGTAGGGACACATTTCCCTGAGCTCTTGCCAATTCTTAGCATGACTCGGCTTACAGCTGTATCACTTCAATTGCTGCAATTGGAGCAAACCAACTCAACAAGCATGGCTCCGAGTGGTGTCTCTACACTGCTGAATTTGGCTTATTTAACTGGATATCTTCGCAAACCTTGCTTTTCTTACTCGAAATGCCATTTTAACCATCTTCCCATAATCCCTCGCATGCTGAGGCCCCACTTCACCCCTTCTGGCTTTGAAGAAAAAAAAAGTCACATGACTTTTCTTCCCTCTGTGTCTTTGTGTCCTTGCCTCCTCTCATGAGGGATCATGGTCTGCTGACCTCATGTTTTTTTTTTTTTTTTTTTCTGAACCCAGGGGCATTTTACCAACTAGCTACATTCCCAGTCCTTATTTTTTATTCAAAAGAGGGTCTCACTAAGTTGCTAAGTTGCTGAGGCTGGCTTCCAATTTGTGATCCTCCTGCCTTAGCCTCCCAAATCACCACAGGCATGTGCTACTACACCTGGCTGACCTCTTCTTCCTTATTACATATGCAAAGACTCTATTTCCAAATGAGGGTATATTCTGAAGTTCCATGTAGACATGAATTTTTCAAGGAACATTTTCAACCCACTTGAGAGGCAATCCCCTGAATCTTTCTAATCTTTCCCATTTGCTTTATTATTCCAACCACGCGGGCAGCCCCCAATCCACTGACCACCCCACCTTCCCTGCCCCCATCTCCTTCATGTCTTCACTTTTCTCCCATCCCACATGGGAGTCCATGGCCCAACACTGCAATCGCTCCCGACCTTCCCCTTAACCCCTCCCCGCCTGTAACTTCGATGTTCTCACTTTTGACCCTGTACTTCCCCCACCGCTACACCCACGCAGTTGAACTTGGCTGAGGACACACACTTACTGATGGGTTTCACTTTAATTTTATGATCACAAACCTAAAGTGGATTCACAGGGTTGCCTGGCCATCCTACCACATCTCCAAGGCATCTGTTTCAAAGCTTTGCTGGGTCCTGATCTGAGATAGCTGTAATTAACCAACAAGGTCAATCACTTGAGCTTTCCTAACTCCCCATTTTTTATTTAACTTTTTACTTTAAGCTTCTCTTTAGCCTCAATGTCTGCCAATGACCTTGCTTCTTATTTCATTGAGATAACAGTCAGATGAGACTTTCCACAATCTTCCAGCTCCAAATCCAGCATCCTACCTTCATCTGCCTTCTCTCCTGCTGCCATCCCTGAAATATCTATGTTCCCTAACTTGAGGCCAGCCATCCATGTTTGCACAGAACCTTTTTCCTTTCGATATTCAAGATTTTGCTTTTGCAACACCTGCCTCTGGATCCACTCATCAGTTTCCTCCTTTCTAATGGATTATTCCCATCAAAATACAAACATGCTGAACTATCACAATTCCCCCATCCCCTGCTGCATACATGCAAAATTGCACTGACTCCACAGCGCCCCCTATAGCCACTGCTGTTTTCCTCTTAATAGTAAACTGCTCAGAATGTTTTCTCACATGGTCCACTTCCTCTCTCCAGCTCACTCTGATTAGGTCTTCACCTCATGGCTCCAATAAAACTACTCTTGCCAAGGTCACCAAAGGCTATCACATCAGGTCATTCAATGGTCTTGTCTCAAGTCTCCTCGACTCTCCACAGCATTTGTTCATTTAATTCCTGAAACGCTTTCTGCTCTTGGATTCAACCCACTGGAACAAAGCCAGACATCTGGAACAAAGCCTGGCATCTGGAAAGAGGTAACCACCATGGGAACTTCCATCAACTCATCTGCTTACATGAACTTTGGCTTTCATCAGACCATTTTAGTAGAATCTTAGAACATCAGGGCTGGAGGAGACCCGGCTTGCCATTTTAACCCAATCTCCTGATGTTGTAACTAAGGAATTTGAGGCTCAGAGAGGTTAAGTGACAGCCTGACAGTGGGACCAAGCCTCAAACTCAGATCTGCTGGCTCACTATGGTTCAGGGTCCTTACAGTCCCTCTCTAGCTGTGACAAGCTCTCCACAATTCCCTCGTACAAATGCCAGCCTGCCTCCCCCAGAATCATTGTGTCACTGGGTCACACTCTGTCCTCTTCCTGAATGTCAGTAACCCCCATGTGACCTTTACTTAATTACAAGTAATGCTTCACTTAACATTTAAGAAGTCTCTCCATCACAACTCCAGCAACTTAACAAAGCACATCTTCATAAATCCTGAGATATACTGTCCTCTTTTCAAATTTCTACAGCAATATTCTGGAAAGCCATCCCTGTGTGAAGTCACTTGTGTCAGTGACACTTTCTGTTTGCCCACTCAGTGCTGAAGAGCTGGCAGCTCTAGGACACCTTATCATCATGTTTGCCCTTGGTGCCCCCAATCATGCCTTTCCCCATGGA